GTCTAACTGGCCGTGTCAAGTGTAAGTCTAATTTCACGGGCAGACGCGCGGTTATCAACACGGTTCACTTACTCAATCGGGGGCTGCCGGCTCTACCAACCAAAGTGCCGAAGACTACCAAACTACACATGTTTGCTACATCGGCGCAAAAAGGCTCTGACTATGCAATAGCATCCTAACAGCAACTGTAGAGTTGCAGATATCTGAGATCTCAGAGCAGTTTATATTTTGTTGTCTGTGTGCGGCTACCTATCTAATCGGTTAATCTGATCGTTCTCTGACACTAGGCAAATTTTAACTGTACGCATTGTCGATATCGACAAATACTTGTCGATACGTATCGCCGATTGGCTGATTGGCTATAGCCAATCGCAAAATCAGACAAACCGTCTGGTGTAATGGTGCCGAGAAAGACGGCCCATGTGGAGTGAGTTTAAGTAAAATCAGGGTAAAAAGGGACGCAACAAAGTAAACATATGAGGGGAAAACGAAGACTAACAAACATGTGATGTCACCTGAAGAAAAAGTACCCAAATAATCTTCAAGGGCGGCACAATATTAGTTATTTGCACACCAATTTTACCCAACCAATTACAGAGCCGGTTATGGGAAGTTCGTGCGGTTGGTCACATTAATTGAAGCACGCTGACGATCGAACAGGAGAGAACCTTTGAAGGTTAATTGATAAATTAAGTACACTTCTCTTTCTGTCGTTGACTTGGCCGTGTGATTATTTCCACAACTCATGGAACACAAGGTCACAGTAAAATCAGTATATATAGAGGAGATAGGCAGAGCCTTTGAAAACCCCATTCACAGGTAGATGCTGTAAAATCATGCGTGTGTTTCAAAGCCATATATTGGCATTATATAAATCGTTGTTGTCTACCAAATATATTGCCAGCAAGTCAAGAAAGGTCAAGTCTTCTTTTAAATACGTCCACGTTTTTGCAAAAACAACCGACGAAGGAAATTTATTCAAGTCTTCAATGACCCGAAGGTAAAAGAAGATGGCCCGCATTTCTACTAAGTCGTGGTGTTTCTTCATTTTGTCTGAATGACATCGAAGATATTTTATAGGGCGCGCTAGGTATGTCCTTCTTTTCAGGAATGGACTTGTTCTTCACCCTATCACTTCCTTCTACTATCGAGCCTTGTGACTGTTGTCGTTCTTGATCGATCGCCTGAAGCGTCATAGTGACGTAAGACCGCTCACAAACAATCACACACGCAATGCGTAATAATCCGTATCGTACGACAGCTTATTTAACCAAAATCAAGAACATGCAACTACGACGACTCCTCTGGTTGTGAGAATAACTAACGCTCCCTAGGTGCGTCCTTCACTGCACCAGCCTGGTTACTTTCCAGCACTGAATCACGCGTCTCCTCCACGACCGCCACTAAAATCGAAAAGTAAAAAAGCGCATCAAAAGAAAAAAGGGTCAGGTTGGTCTCTTACACGCCCTACCCCCAGCCAAGGGGGGGGCTCTGTCCGCAGAGCCGCAGTAGGGTCAGGGGTACCTATCTCTACCTAAGCGGCTGGTTGGGGAACTAGGTGGGGGGCTAGAATGTGGAGGGAGTCAGGGTCAACGGAGGGCCTGGGTCCCGCGGAGGACGATGGCGTAACGGGGAGAGAAGCTGAGTCGGTGGGAGGAAAGGGGCCTGTGTAGGGTGTCAGTTTGTCAAAGTGGACAGTGGATGTAGGGCCAGAGGGGTCACGTACGTCGCGATTGCGGTAGGTGGAGGGGGGAATTGCTTGGACCACAACGAACGGACCTTCCCACGGGCAGAAGAATTTGGAGGGTATCCCCACCGGGGATGTGGCGCGCCGACGGAGGACGTAGTCGCCGGGGGAATGTGGGGCACCGTGAACGTGTTGGTCGAAATAGGATTTCTGTCGTTCGTATGCCGTGCGAAGGTGAGAACGGGCAAGGTTATGGGCCAGGCGTAGGGTTTCTTGTAGTTCCGAAGCGTAAGCATCCGGAGACTAACCGTCGGATGTATGAAGTGGCAGTAAGAAATCAGAAAGTAGTCGGAGATGATGGCCAGTAAGCAGGAAGAAAGGGGAATAACCCGTGGACGAGTGGAGCGTGGCCCTATAGGCCATCATGGCGTAGGGTAGTCTAAGTTCCCAATTCCTACGGTCGTGCGATTCCGCTAGGGCCTTCAGTAGATTGATGATAGTGCGATTTGTTCTTTCGGTCTGCCCATTTCCTTCAGGATGTGCCGGGGTGGTGTGGGTCTTGTGGATGCGAAGGAGATCACAGACGTCGCGCACGAGTTGACTCTGGAAGTTGGTGCCGCAGTCTGAGTGAAGAGACAGGGGGCACCAAAACGGCAGTCCCAAGCCGACAAGAATGCATCGGCAACGGTAGCCTTATCTTGGCAAGGTAAGGACACGGCTTCCGCCCACTTGGTGAAATAGTTAACCATATTAGAATGTACCGGTCGTGGCTGCGTGTGAAGGGTAAGGGTCCCATCACGTCTATGCCGACTCTCTCGAAAGGGGATCCGGTGGCCATGGATTGAAGGGGTGCTCGAGGTCGTGGGTTAGGACCTTTAAAGCTCGTGGACGTAGGGCAAGTGTTGCAGAAAGTGGCAACCTGTTCCCAAAGATATGGCCACCAGAATCTTTGACGAGCCGCTGCCTCGGTTTTAGCCTGACCGACATGGCCCAAGTCGTGGTGTAAGTCCGTTAAAACAGGATTGACGAGGCTCCCAGGGACTAATAAACGCGGGGGCATGTGGATGCCTTCCTTAAAGAAAAGGAGTTCGTTTTCCATAAAGAGTTGGGGCCAATGGTTGCGAAGAATTCTGGCTGTGTCGGACGAACCGCGGAGATCGTTATCGATGGGGCAAGGCTTGCCGTGAAGTATTCGGTCATCGATGATTGCTGTGTTAGGATCAGTGCTCTGGGCGACCGCCCAATGATACTGTGTAGGTTCACTGATGACAAGAGCAGAGACCGAGTCGGCGGGGAGCGACATCGGAGCATCGCTGGGGTCGGGTGGGCGTCTGGAAAGGGCGTCAGCGTTTTTATGTTTGGTGCCCGGCCGGAATTAGCAGGAATAGTTTAATTCTTAAAGAGTGTCTTGCCATCGCGCCAATTGGCCTTCCGCATCCTCGTGTTCTGTAGGCACTGAAGTGCTTTATGGTCGGTACGTATTATGAAGTGGCGGCCAATCAGAAAAGGTTTAAAACGCTTGAATAAAATGTTAGTAAGGTCAACATTTCACGTTTGTACACGGAGCATTTGCGTTCGGATTTTGTGAGGGTCCTACTTGCGAAGTAAATGGGCCGTTCGACGCCGGTTTCGTCAGGTTGAGATAGGACACCGCCGATAGCGGAATAACTCGCATCCGTTTCAAGGATAAATTCGGGGGCGTCAGGGAGGACATTAGGTAACATCAAAACCGGGGCGGTCGTGAGGCGTGCCTTGAGTTCGTCGAAAGAAGCTTGGCAGTTTTCAGACCACTGAAATGGACGGCCTTTCTCTGTGAGAACATGTAGGGGACGCGCGATTTCCGCGAAGCCGCGTATGAAGCGCCTATAGTACGATGCGAGGCCGATAAAGCTGCGCACGCCCGTAGCTGAAGTCGGCGTAGGCCAAGTCAGAATGGCCTTGATTTTCTCGGGAGAGGCTTGTATGCCATCCCGGCTAACTTCATGGCCTAAATAAGTGACTCTATCGCGTAGGAACGAACATTTAAGGGGGTTAAGGCGTAACCCGGCGTCACGAAGGGCGGTGAGGACTGCCTGAAGGTTATCATTTTGTTCAGGGATGGACTTGCCGAAGACAACCACATCCTCGAGGTAGATGAGGCAACAGTGAGGATAGAGGTGAGAGAAGACGGATTGCATAAGACGCTGAAATGTGGAGGCTGCTCTGCAGAGGCCAAAGGGCATCGTCCCAAACTCAAAAAGTCCTTGTGGAATGATGAAAGCCGTTTTGGCTCTATCTTTGGACTCCACCTCATGTTGCCAGTAACCCGACTTCAAGTCTGGGGTGATAAACCAACGCGCCCCAGCCAACGCGTCGAGGGTGACATCGATGCGGGGTAGCGGAAAAGAGTCACGTACTATGAGGGCATTAAGACGATGGTAGTCTATGCATAGTCATAGTTTATCGTCCTTATTAGGTACCAGCGTAACCGGGGAGGCCCACGGTGAATGTGACGGGCGGATGACATAGTTTTCCAACATCATCTTAATCATATCTTGGACTTGCTGAAAATGGGGAGTATCCGCCTGGGCGCTTGCCACACGGGTTTCGCAGAACCGGTATCAATCGAGTGGCGAATGACGGAAGAACGTCCAAGGGAACGGTCATCCCAAACGAAAAAATCAGCGAATTGTACCAGGAGAGCCTGTAGCTGCGCACGGGTGTGAGTATCGAGATCGGAATATAAAGATAGGAGGCCTTCCAGTTTAGTCGGGGGTAGGCCAACGGCAGCCTCGATGGCTGCACAGAAATCAGCATCCAAAGGTGAAGAGGCAGCTAACGACATAGGGGAATTAGTAAGGCCAAAACGTAACGAGCGTGAACAGAAATCAAGAAAGCAATTAAATTAAGTGAGAAAATCGACGCCTAGCAAAAAGTCTCAAGTCAGGGAAGGACTAACTAGGAACGAATGGTGTTTGGTCCCAGTGAGGAAGTCTAAAGACAGGAAATGGATCCTAGAATGTGCAAACGTTGGCCATTGGCTGTCAAAGGTGTAGGTAGAGGAAGACGAGAATCAATAAGGCGAGAGTGAGAAGGAGATAAAATATCGGAACGAATTAGGGAAACTGTAGCGCCGGTGTCAAGTA